GATGCGTCTTCTGTACAACCTATATCTGGTGTACATCCCGTGTATGGTTTATCTGATGCGTCTTCTGTACAACCTATATCTGGTGTACATCCAGTGTATGGGGGTATCTGATCGTCTTCTGTACAACCTATATCTGGTGTACATCCGTGTATGGTTTATCTGATGCGTCTTCTGTACAACCTATATCTGTTGTACATCCAGTGTATGGTGTATCTGATGCGTCTTCTGTACAACCTATATCTGGTGTACATCCCGTGTATGGTGTATCTGATGCGTCTTCTGTACAACCTATATCTGGTGTACATCCCGTGTATGGTGTATCTGATGCGTCTTCTGTACAACCTATATCTGGTGTACATCCCGTGTATGGTGTATCTGATGCGTCTTCTGTACAACCTATATCTGGTGTACATCCAGTGTATGGTGTATCTGATGCGTCTTCTGTAACACCTATATCTGGTGTACATCCAGTGTATGGTGTATCTGATGCGTCTTCTGTACAACCTATATCTGGTGTACATCCCGTGTATGGTGTATCTGATGCGTCTTCTGTACAACCTATATCTGGTGTACATCCCGTGTATGGTGTATCTGATGTGTCTTCTGTACAACCTATATCTGTTGTACATCCAGTGTGTGGTGTATCTGATGCGTCTTCTGTACAACCTATATCTGGTGTACATCCAGTGTATGGTGTATCTGATGCGTCTTCTGTACAACCTATATCTGGTGTACATCCCGTGTGTGGTGTATCTGATGCGTCTTCTGTACAACCTATATCTGGTGTACATCCAGTGTATGGTGTATCTGATGTGTCTTCTGTACAACCTATATCTGGTGTACATCCCGTGTATGGTGTATCTGATGTGTCTTCTGTACAACCTATATCTGTTGTACATCCCGTGTATGGTGTATCTGATGTCTTCTGTACAACCTATATCTGGTGTACATCCAGTGTATGGTGTATCTGATCGTCTTCTGTACAACCTATATCTGGTGTACATCCAGTGTATGGTGTATCTGATCGTCTTCTGTACAACCTATATCTGGTGTACATCCCGTGTATGGTGTATCTGATGATGCGTCTTCTGTACAACCTATATCTGGTGTACATCCAGTGTATGGTGTATCTGATGTGTCTTCTGTACAACCTATATCTGTTGTACATCCGTTGTATGGTGTATCTGATGCGCCTTCTGTACAACCTATATCTGGTGTACATCCAGTGTATGGTGTATCTGATGTGTCTTCTGTACAACCTATATCTGGTGTACATCCGTGTATGGTGTATCTGATCGTCTTCTGTACAACCTATATCTGGTGTACATCCAGTGTATGGTGTATCTGATGTGTCTTCTGTACAACCTATATCTGGTGTACATCCCGTGTATGGTGTATCTGATGTGTCTTCTGTACAACCTATATCTGTTGTACATCCCGTGTATGGTGTATCTGATGTGTCTTCTGTACAACCTATATCTGTTGTACATCCCGTGTATGGTGTATCTGATGTGTCTTCTGTACAACCTATATCTGTTGTACATCCCGTGTATGGTGTATCTGATGCGTCTTCTGTACAACCTATATCTGTTGTACATCCGTTATGGTGTATCTGATGATAATCTTCTGTACAACCTATATCTGTTGTACATCCCGTGTATGGTGTATCTGATGCGTCTTCTGTACAACCTATATCTGTTGTACATCCCGTATATGGTGTATCTGATGTGTTCTGTACAACCTATATCTGTTGTACATCCGTGTATGGTGTATCTGATCGTCTTCTGTACAACCTATATCTGTTGTACATCCGTGTATGGTGTATCTGATGTGTCTTCTGTACAACCTATATCTGTTGTACATCCGTTATATGGTGTATCTGATGATCGTCTTCTGTACAACCTATATCTGTTGTACATCCGTGTATGGTTGTATCTGATGTGTCTTCTGTACAACCTATATCTGTTGTACATCCGTGTATGGTGTATCTGATCGTCTTCTGTACAACCTATATCTGTTGTACATCCGTTGTATGGTGTATCTGATCGTCTTCTGTACAACCTATATCTGTTGTACATCCCGTTATATGGTGTATCTGATCGTCTTCTGTACAACCTATATCTGTTGTACATCCGTGTGTGGTGTATCTGATGCGTCTTCTGTACAACCTATATCTGGTGTACATCCCGTGTGTGTGTATTATATCTGATCGTCTTCTGTACAACCTATATCTGTTGTACATCCGTGTATGGTGTATCTGATCGTCTTCTGTACAACCTATATCTGTTGTACATCCAGTGTATGGTGTATCTGATCGTCTTCTGTACAACCTATATCTGGTGTACATCCAGTGTATGGTGTATCTGATGCGTCTTCTGTACAACCTATATCTGATGGTCTTCTGTACATCCTATATGTGGTGGTGTATCTCTGATCGTCTTCTGTACAACCTATATCTGTTGTACATCCGGTGTATGGTGTATCTGATCGTCTTCTGTACAACCTATATCTGGTGTACATCCAGTGTATGGTGTATCTGATGTGTCTTCTGTACAACCTATATCTGGTGTACATCCAGTGTATGGTGTATCTGATCGTCTTCTGTAACACCTATATCTGGTGTACATCCGTGTATGGTGTATCTGATCGTCTTCTGTACAACCTATATCTGGTGTACATCCAGTGTATGGGGTATCTGATCGTCTTCTGTACAACCTATATCTGGTGTACATCCGTGTATGGTGTATCTGATGTGTCTTCTGTACAACCTATATCTGGTGTACATCCAGTGTATGGGGTATCTGATCGTCTTCTGTACAACCTATATCTGGTGTACATCCAGTGTATGGTGTATCTGATGCGTCTTCTGTAACACCTATATCTGGTGTACATCCAGTGTATGGTGTATCTGATCGTCTTCTGTACAACCTATATCTGGTGTACATCCGTGTGGTATACATCCGTGTATCTGATGTGTCTTCTGTACAACCTATATCTGGTGTACATCCAGTGTATGGTGTATCTGATCGTCTTCTGTACAACCTATATCTGTTGTACATCCGTGTATGTGTATCTGATCGTCTTCTGTACAACCTATATCTGGTGTACATCCCGTGTGTGGTGTATCTGATCGTCTTCTGTACAACCTATATCTGTTGTACATCCGTGTATGGTGTATCTGATGCGTCTTCTGTACAACCTATATCTGTTGTACATCCCGTGTATGGTGTATCTGATGCGTCTTCTGTACAACCTATATCTGGTGTACATCCAGTGTGTGGTGTATCTGATGCGTCTTCTGTACAACCTATATCTGTTGTACATCCCGTGTATGGTGTATCTGATGCGTCTTCTGTACAACCTATATCTGTTGTTCATCCCGTGTATGGTGTATCTGATGCGTCTTCTGTACAACCTATATCTGTTGTACATCCAGTGTATGGGGTATCTGATGCGTCTTCTGTACAACCTATATCTGTTGTACATCCCGTGTGTGGTGCATGTCCAGTGTGTGGTATACGTCTTATGTGTGGTATATGTCCTGTGAGTGGTATATGTCCTGTGTGTGGTGTTTGTCCTGTGTGTGGTGTTGTCCTGTGTGTGGTGTATGTCCTGTGTGTGGTGTTTGTCCTGTGTGTGGTGTTTGTCCTGTGTGTGGTGTATGTCCTGTGTGTGGTGTTTGTCCTGTGTGTGGTGTTTGTCCTGTGTGGTATATGTCCTGTGTGTGGTGTTCTGTCCTGTGTGTGGTGTTTGTCCTGTGTGTGGTGTATGTCCTGTGTGTGGTGTTTGTCCTGTGTGTGGTGTTTGTCCTGTGTGTGGTATATGTCCTGTATGTGGTGTACGTCCTGTGTGTGGTGTTGTCCTGTGCTGTCTGTGTGTGTGGTACGTCCTGTGTGTGGTGTTTGTCCTGTGTGTGGTGTTTGTCCTGTGTGGCATATGTCCTGTGTGTGGTGTACATCCTGAGTGTGGTGTATGTCCTGTGTGTGGTGTTTGTCCTGTGTGTGGTATGTCCTGTGTGTGGTGTTTGTCCTGTGTGGTGTACGTCCTGTGTGGTGGTCCTGTCTGATGTGCGTCCTGTGTGTAGTGTTGTGTGGTATATGTCCTGTGTGTGGTGTTTGTCCTGTGTGTGGTATATGTCCTGTGTCTGATGTGCGTCCTGTGTATAGTGTTTGTCCTGTGTGTGGTGTATGTCCTGTGTGTGTGTATATGTATATGTCCTGTGTGGTGTATGTCCTGTGTGTGGTGTGGTGTCCCTGTGTGGTATATGTCCTGTGTGGTGTATGTCCTGTGTCTGATGTGTGTGGTGTGTGTCCTGTGTGGTATGTCCTGTGTCTGATGTATATGTCTGTGTGTGGTGTATGTCCTGTGTGTGGTATATGTCCTGTGTGTGGTATATGTCCTGTGTGTGGTATATATGTCCTGTGTGTGGTGGTATGTCCTGTGTGTGGTATATGTCCTGTGTGTGGTATGCGTGATGTGGTGTATTGTGTGTGTGTGTGTATATCCTGTGTGTGGTATATGTCCTGTGTGTGGTGTATGTCCTGTGTGTGTTGTATGTCCTGTGTGGTGTATGTCCTGTGTGTGGTATATGTCCTGTGTGTGGTGTACGTCCTGTGTGTGGTGTTTGTCCTGTGTGTGGTATGTGTCCTGTGTGGTATATGTCCTGTGTGTGGTGTATGTGTGTGGTGTTTGTCCTGTGTGTGGTATATGTCCTGTGTGGTATATATGTCCTGTGTGTGGTATATTTACCTGTGGTGTTTGTCCTGTGTGTGTGTATATGTCCTGTGTGTCTGATGTGCGTCCTGTGTGTAGTGTTTGTCCTGTGTGTGGTGTATGTCATGTGTGGTGTTTGTCCCGTGTGGTATATGTCCTGTGTCTAATGTACGTCCTGTGTGGTGCATGTCATGTGTGTGGTTTATGTCCTGTGTGTTGTGCATGTCCTGTGTGTGGTGTACGTCCTGTGTGTGGTATATGTCCTATGTATTTCTTGCTTTACTCACATCAACAATGTCATCATCAAACAGCAGCCAGAAACCATGACTTTCTACGATGCTGATGTAGTGTCCCCGGTTTGGGCCACTCCCACAATGCACCACTACAGCAACCAGGTCGTACATTCTCTCTGGGTTACAGGCATCGTCAGACTGAAAAACACATGTTTATGACTTGACCAGAAATAAATAGCATGTACTTAAACAAATCACATTACAGCCAATGCAGGCTGCAAGCACGCACAAGAAACCATATATGGTGAACACAGATCGTCTGGGCTCTAATACAACACATGTTGACCACCCATCCTCAGACATGCTTACAACATATGGTGACCACCCACCCCCAGACATGCTTACAACATACGATGACCCCTACCCTCAGACATGCTTACAACACACAATGACCACCCACCCTCAGACCTGCTTACAACACACATTGACCACCCACCCTCAGACATGCTTACAACACACAATGACCACCCACCCTCAGACATGCTTACAACATACGACACCCCCACCTCACCCACAGACATGCTTACAACACAAAATGACCATCCACCCTCAGACATGCTTACAACATATGTTGACCACCCAGCCTCAGACATGCTTACAACACACAATGACCACCCACCCTCAGACATGCTTACAACATATGTTGACCACCCATCCTCAGACATGCTTACAACACACAATGACCACCCACCCACAAACATGCTCACAACATACAATGACCACCCACCAACAAACATGCTCACAACATACAATGACCACCCACCAACAAACATGCTCACAACATACAATGACCACCCACCCACAAACATGCTCACAACATACAATGATCACCCACCCTCAAACATGCTAACAACACACAATGACCACCCACCCTCAGACATGCTGACATCACTCAATGTCCAATCAGTCATACTTACCACTGCCCCTGCAGGTCTTGATACAATGATAAAATGAAAATGACTAGATAAACTTACCGTATTAAATAGTCGCAGCTCCAGTGGAAAGACAACTCGGTAGGACACTTTGATGTATCGATTATACTGCTCCATGTATTTGAACCTCTTTAAATGTAACGCCAGAATCTGGGGTAACTTCTTCACTCTCATTCTGATGAAAGACAAAATGGGTTATAACTGCTCACTCAGTAATGAGGTGAAGACAGCAGAAGCTTTAACATACTATCAACTACTACATCATCAGGATGACACAGCCAAACCAGTGCCTACAACTGAGTGGAGGCAGCACAACCACAGAGTCACTGACACACAGTACACAGTACACATTATGACATACTGAAGTTCATCCTGTTACTGTGTAGGCACACAGCATCTCCACACAATACACATACTGAAGTTCACCCTGTCACTGTGTTGGCACACAGCATCTCCACACAATACACATACTGGAGTTCACCCTGTCACTGTGTTGGCACACAGCATCTCCACACAATACACATACTGGAGTTCACCCTGTCACTGTGTTGGCACACAGCATCTCCACACAATACACATACTGGAGTTCACCCTGTCACTGTGTAGGCACACAGCATCTCCACACAGTACACATACTGGAGTTCACCCTGTCACTGTGTAGGCACACGGCATCTCCACACAATACACATACTGGAGTTCAATCTGGTACTATGTAGGCAGACGGCATCTCCACACAATACACATACTGGAGTTCACCCTGTCACTGTGTAGGCACACAGCATCTCCACACAGTACACATAATGGAGTTCATCCTGTTACTGTGTAGGCACACGGCATCTCCACACAATACACATACTGGAGTTCAATCTGGTACTATGTAGGCACACGGCATCTCCACACAATACACATACTGGAGTTCACCCTCTTACTGTGTAGGCACACGGCATCTCCACACAATACACATACTGGAGTTCAATCTGTTACCATGTTGCATTCTTACCGCTTCTGGGCTTCCTGTTTGCTACAGCAGACTTCACAGTAATACTTGTGTTCAGCACATAGCGTCTCGGTGTTACTGAAGCCACGCAGACAGTGTGTGATGGACGTGTTCTGTTCCACATCCACGGAGAGGTCCAGGAAGTCCTCATCTTTACTGCTCACCTGAACAAGGAAAACACTTCTCGTACACATCAAATATATGCCACTTTATATGCTTTACACATTCAACTGATTTCATCTGGCACATCACAAATATGTTTTAGCTGCATGGACTGCAGGACTGACAAGATTAATTGACCAACTTACTGTTTCACAGTTTAAACACCGTGTTTCATTGGTGAGAGTTCCCTGGAATATTTCGTGGACCCAGGTCACCTCCTGCTTTGACTTGCTGTCCACCCCGCTGTTCTTGGCCTTGTTGCCTTGCTTCTCCGCTGGAATAAAATACACTGGTAAGTCACATTGTCCTTACTGCCTCACAACCTTGATTCACATTTCCTTCAATGTTGTTGAAGTAACATATATTTTTACAATCTCTCAGTGAAGTTCTATGTTGTGGGATGCAATGTATTCTGTTAGTAGGTGCCTGATATACATGTTTATTGTTCTGCTCAACAGCGTTTGTTGGGTTTTAACAAACTGTACAATAGCATATAATAGGTTTTTGAAACTTTATGCCAAATTTTAGCTTCTCCAAAGTAGAGTACATACAATGTAGCCTGTAGCTCAACCAAAGCAGGAGATCATTGTGTTATATACAGGAGCTTGTGTATCAAAGGCCAGATTATGGGAACGTTATACACTCAATATCTGACTGTTATTTATTGAAAAGTGTTAGGGGAGATGGTAGTGTTAGATACAGATGCTGTTAGTGTTAGATACAGGTGCTGGTAGTGTTAGATACAGGTGCTGGTAGTGTTCGATACAGGTGCAGGTAGTGTTAGATACAGGTGCTGGTAGTGTTACATACAGGTGCTGGTAGTGTTAGATACAGGTGCAGGTAGTGTTAGATACAGGTGCTGGTAGTGCTACATACAGGTGCTGGTAGTGTTAGATACAGGTGCTGGTAGTGTCAGATACAGGTGCTGGTAGTGTTACATACAGGTGCTGGTAGTGTTAGATACAGGTGCTGGTAGTGTTAGATACAGGTGCTGGTAGTGTTAGATACAGGTGCTGGTAGTGTTAGATACAGGTGCAGGTAGTGTTAGATACAGGTGCTGGTAGTGTTAGATACAGGTGCTGGTAGTGTTAGATACAGGTGCAGGTAGTGTTAGATACAGGTGCTGGTAGTGTTACATACAGGTGCTGGTAGTGTTAGATACAGGTGCTGGTAGTGTCAGATACAGGTGCTGGTAGTGTTAGATACAGGTGCTGGTAGTGTCAGATACAGGTGCTGGTAGTGTCAGATACAGGAGCTAGTAGTGTTAGATACAGGTGCTGGTAGTGTCAGATACAGGTGCTGGTAGTGTCAGATACAGGTGCTGGTAGTGTCAGATAAAGATGCTGGTAGTGTTACATACAGGTGCAGGTAGTGTTAGATACAGGTGCTGGTTGTGTTAGATACAGGTGCTGGTAGTGTTAGATACAGGTGCTGGTAGTGTCAGATACAGGAGCTGGTAGTGTCAGATAGAGGTGCTGGTAGTGTTAGATACAGGTGCTGGTAGTGTCAGATACAGGAGCTGGTAGTGTCAGATAGAGGTGCTGGTAGTGTTAGATACAGGTGCAGGTAGTGTTAGATACAGGTGCTGGTAGTGTTAGATACAGGTGCTGGTAGTGTTAGATACAGGTGCTGGTAGTGTTAGATACAGGTGCTGGTAGTGTTAGATACAGGTGCTGGTAGTGTTAGATACAGGTGCTGGTAGTGTTAGATACAGGTGCTGGTAGTGTTAGATACAGGTGCTGGTAGTGTTACATACAGGTGCTGGTAGTGTTAGATACAGGTGCTGGTAGTGTTACATACAGGTGCTGGTAGTGTTAGATACAGGTGCTGGTAGTGTCAGATACAGGAGCTAGTAGTGTTACATACAGGTGCTGGTAGTGTTACATACAGGTGCTGGTAGTGTCAGATACAGGTGCTGGTAGTGTTAGATACAGGTGCTGGTAGTGTTACATACAGGTGCTGGTAGTGTCAGATACAGGTGCTGGTAGTGTTACATACAGGTGCTGGTAGTGTTAGATACAGGTGCTGGTAGTGTTACATACAGGTGCTGGTAGTGTTAGATACAGGTGCTGGTAGTGTCAGATACAGGAGCTAGTAGTGTTAGATACAGGTGCTGGTAGTGTCAGATACAGGTGCTGGTAGTGTCAGATACAGGAGCTGGTAGTGTCAGATAGAGGTGCTGGTAGTGTTAGATACAGGTGCAGGTAGTGTTAGATACAGGTGCTGGTAGTGTTAGATACAGGTGCTGGTAGTGTTAGATACAGGTGCTGGTAGTGTCAGATACAGGAGCTAGTAGTGTTAGATACAGGTGCTGGTAGTGTTACATACAGGTGCTGGTAGTGTCAGATACAGGTGCTGGTAGTGTTACATACAGGTGCTGGTAGTGTTAGATACAGGTGCTGGTAGTGTTACATACAGGTGCTGGTAGTGTTAGATACAGGTGCTGGTAGTGTCAGATACAGGAGCTAGTAGTGTTAGATACAGGTGCTGGTAGTGTCAGATACAGGTGCTGGTAGTGTCAGATACAGGAGCTGGTAGTGTCAGATAGAGGTGCTGGTAGTGTTAGATACAGGTGCAGGTAGTGTTAGATACAGGTGCTGGTAGTGTTAGATACAGGTGCTGGTAGTGTTAGATACAGGTGCTGTTAGTGTCAGATACAGGAGCTGGTAGTGTTAGATACAGGTGCTGGTAGTGTTAGATACAGGTGCTGGTAGTGTCAGATACAGGTGCTGGTAGTGTCAGATAGAGGTGCTGGTAGTGTTAGATACAGGTGCAGGTAGTGTTAGATACAGGTGCTGGTAGTGTTAGATACAGGTGCTGGTAGTGTTACATACAGGTGCTGTTAGTGTCAGATACAGGAGCTGGTAGTGTTAGATACAGGTGCTGGTAGTGTCAGATACAGGTGCTGGTAGTGTCAGATACAAGTGCTGGTAGTGTCAGATACAGGAGAAGGAAGTGTTACCTTGGACCAGATCAGCTACTGTGTTCAGCAGGTAATTGAGGAATTCATGAGCATCTTGCTGCATGTAGTTGTCAAACTGCTCTGCAATTAGAAAATAACATGGGACTTACACCAAACCTAATCATAAGACAAACACTGAATCAAACAAGACAAGTGAAATCAGCCACTGAATCAAATCAAAACACAAGTAACTTTACCAACTGGGACTTGATTTCCACTCAGGTACAGGGCTGACACATGAGTCCGGCACAGGTGTAGTACTGGGACATGATACTAATACAGGTGTAGTACTGGGACTTGATACCAATACAGGTGTAGTACTGGGACTTGATACCAATACAGGTGCAGTGCTGGGACTTGATTCTAATACAGGTGTAGTACTGGGACTTGATACTAATACAGGTGTAGTACTGGGACTTGATACCAATACAGGTGTAGTACTGGGACTTGATACCAATACAGGTGTAGTACTGGGACTTGATACCAATACAGGTGCAATGCTGGGACTTGATTCTAATACAGGTGTAGTACTGGGACTTGATACTAATACAGGTGTAGTACTGGGACTTGATTCTAATACAGGTGTAGTACTGGGACTTGATACTAATACAGGTGTAGTACTGGGACATGATACTAATACAGATGTAGTACTGGGACTTAATTCTAATACAGGTGTAGTACTGGGACTTGATACTAATACAGGTGTAGTACTGGGACTTGATACTAATACAGGTGCAGTGCTGGGACTTGATTCTAATACAGGTGTAGTACTGGGACATGATACTAATACAGGTGTAGTACTGGGACTTGATACCAATACAGGTGCAGTGCTGGGACTTGATTCTAATACAGGTGTAGTACTGGGACATGATACTAATACAGGTGTAGTACTGGGACTTGATACCAATACAGGTGTAGTACTGGGACTTGATACCAATACAGGTGCAGTGCTGGGACTTGATTCTAATACAGGTGTAGTACTGGGACTTGATACTAATACAGGTGTAGTACTGGGACATGATACAAATACAGGTGTAGTACTGGGACTTGATACCAATACAGGTGCAGTGCTGGGACTTGATTCTAATACAGGTGTGGTACTGGGACTTGATACTAATACAGGTGTAGTACTGGGACATGATACTAATACAGGTGTAGTACTGGGACTTGATACCAATACAGGTGCAGTGCTGGGACTTGATTCTAATACAGGTGTAGTACTGGGACTTGATACTAATACAGGTGTAGTACTGGGACATGATACTAATACAGGTGTAGTACTGGGACTTAATTCTAATACAGGTGTAGTACTGGGACTTGATACTAATACAGGTGTAGTACTGGGACTTGATTCTAATACAGGTGTAGTACTGTGACTTGATACCAATACAGGTGTAGTACTGGGACTTGATACCAATACAGGTGTAGTACTGGGACTTGATACTAATACAGGTGTAGTACTGTGACTTGATACCAAAACAGGTGTAGTACTGGGACTTGATACCAATACAGGTGTAGTACTGTGACTTGACACTAATACAGGTGTAGTACTGTGACTTGATTCTAATACAGGTGTAATACTGGGACTTGATACTAATACAGGTGTAGTACTGGAACTTGATTCTAATACAGGTGTAGTACTGGGACTTGATACTAATACAGGTGTAGTACTGGGACTTGATACTAATACAGGTGTAGTACTGGGACTTGATTCTAATACAGGTGTAGTACTGGGACTTGATACCAATACAGGTGTAGTACTGGGACTTGATACCAATACAGGTGTAGTACTGGGACTTGACACTAATACAGGTGTAGTACTGGGACTTTATTCTAATACAGGTGTAGTACTGTGACTTGTTACTAATACAGGTGTAGTACTGTGACTTGATACTAATACAGGTGTAGTACAGGGACTTGATTCTAATACAGGTGTAGTACTGACTGCAAGGATCATTATCATGATCCTTCAACCACAAGAATCAAATACAATTAGCCAACCTACCATTCTCCTTGCGAAGACGTGTGATGAACTTCTTTGGTGCAATTGTTCCCACCTTCTTCTTCTGTGTGGCGATGCTGTAGAACAGGTCGGCCAGACAGGTGAGCAGCGTCTCCTTCTTCTGGCTCTTCTGATGCTGCTTGAACTGCAGAACCTTCTCCCGGAATGGCCGACAGAAGTACAGAGCTTGCAGCACTGAGTTGCAGTAACATGTGTTCCCAAACTGAAACAGAGAAGTATCCGTATTGATTTCAGATCACTTGTCTATCACATGCAACATTAAAAACGTACTAGACATATTTCCGTTTGAACTACCTTTTTCGCAATCACACACTGCAGATTTGCTTTCTCACACATCACAAATTTATCCAGGAATTCAAACTAAGTGTCCCTGGCAAGCAGAAAGCAGTCATTATTTTGTACTGGGATTTATAACACATTTACATTTTTCTCAAATTCGTGGGTACTTTAACATTGCATCCAATACAATAAAGCTTCTTCCACTATACTGGTCTTTTTACCAGTAAAATACAAGTCATCTCTACTTAGCCTTACAATCAGTTGTACCTATACATGTATCAACATGAATTGAGAATTTGTCAATCTATTTTGGACATGTTACCTGAATTTGGCTGTAGACCTGGCCTCTTTGTGGATGTGTAAAAAACTGAGCAGATAGCAACTTATTCAGCACCAAAGATATTTCTTTAAAAAACTAGTGAAAAAGGAAATTGCTATCAAACCCTGACTAAACAAAACTGAATAATAAACTACTCACATTGTCGAGGCCGAAGTAGTGCTCATTGGCTGGGAACTGTTCTGATCCAATCTCCTTCTCGAGCTGGGATGCATTAGCTCCCTAGACAAATCAAATCAAATATCAAATAAATCACACTGAAATAAATTAAAAATTTTAACTATAAATTGTATATTTATAACAGTTGTCCTATCACATCTTGTACTCTCTCTCTCTTATGATTGACAGGTGAATGGAAATGAACTGCAAATGAATTTTTCGGCCTCTCTGAAATGAAGTTTTCACACCCCTGCTGCTCCTGTATCTGGACAGTCTGGCAGCTCCTGTGAAACATGCAGCTTGTCCACGGATTGATTTGTGGCGTCAAGTCTCGTCTTGGAGCTGATAGCCGTAATCTGTGCAGCTGGGTTAGTCTGGCGGGAATCCATTGTGTGAGATAGGATAAGTACATTATATACACAATTTATTGTTAAAATTTTAAATTTTTATACTTATCCTATCTCATGTCTTGTACTCATCCCACGGTTGGACAGTGGGTCGCAGATTACCCTGTGTCTGCAAGTGGATGACAACCATGGTGAAGATGATGATGTTGCACAAGGAGGCCAGTTATGAGTACAATCTCCTGATTGACTGCATAACTCACTTGTGATGGCTGCTTCTTCAAAACCCCTTGGCATCCACAGCACAAAAGCTCCCAAGGAATGGGCACTCCCAGGTAAATGTGGTTTTCACGCTGTACATTTGTCAAAGGACAAATGCAGAGCTAATCAGGTTTCCCCGCCTAGCCCCGATTTCCAGAAAGCCCCAGTAAATTAAAGATTTGGGACTCGCCGTATTTAAATGTACCAGATCCCTGCTTTCAAAACCATCCCTAAGATCACACAAAAGGGTGAAAAACGAAACGGCTCGGTACACTACAACTGTTTTAACGTTCAGTTCTGAACAATATCGAATGACCCTCGCTCCTTTGCATAAGCTTGATCAAAGATATATCCGGGAACACTTCGAAATCCACTGGAATTCTGTATTCATCCTCCACTGACGTGATTGCTCGCTGGAGTAGAGATCAATGAGTGTTGACCACCTCTGCATCGCAGCACAAGACTGGCCTCTCAGTGTGATGAAGTCGCCCAGCGGTGAGTGTACTGCAATGCCCCAGTGTCAATCAAGGTGAGGTAGATCTATGCCCAACGAAAGTAGAACGAAGATGAAATAAAATGAATACATCTCGATTCACTTTACAAGGTAACACCAATTCCATGCACGGTGGATGTGACTATCTGTGTCACCAGTACCATTGGACCAACTTGATGGAGTCTTTCTTTCAGTCATTGAGGTCACGTAGGTAGTGGGAGGCAACAAAGACCGTCTCTGATCTCCAAGAACATCTGATCAACCTTCCATTTTTTTTTTATGTCAACAAACACTTGCCGTGAAGAGCCATCATAGAGGCTAGAGCCCGATTCTCATAAAGGTTCGGTGCAGCTGGATGGTCGATCTCATCCAGAAGGCCAACATGGTACGGGAGACTTCCGCTGAAGAGGCTGTAGAGAGCGGGAAACACTGGCGCTTACATAGCCTGCAACAGTCTTGTGAGGCAGTGATGTATATCTTCCATTCTCTTACTGGACGACCACAAAATCTTCTGTGTCGTAGTAGTAGTAGTAGTAGTAGTAGTAGTGGTTTGTAGAGCTTGAATCTGCACTGAGGGGTAGGTTTGCCGAAATGGATCGCTTGTCAGCAGTGGAGATCCTATGATCGGTAGTTTGTAGCCCGAGCATGGGCATACAAATTTATGAGTCATCATGACTGTCTGGTGTCATGAGAGGGTGTCATGGACATGTTTTGGGGAGTCAACTTCAGTTTGGAACTTTCATCAAGACATTTACTGTGATTGTTTAATAACGACAAAAAACAAGGTAAGGCAGGTTAGGTATTTAGTCAGCACTGAGCAGTTAACTGTCAAACATTAAACTATGATCCTTGGTACAAAAAGCAGCCATCTCAGTCATTGCACAGACACCAAAGTTTAGATTAGGCCCAGGCATTGCGTCAACGTCAACTATGACGCAAGCTGCGCACACTCGCAATGGTTTGTTTACATTTCTCTCGCTTCCGCCCCACTGTGCCACGCCCTTCCCATTCATTTTTTATTCGTGACATTATTTCTTGGACTGTACTGACGAGTACTGGATGGATCGAAATGTGTTTCAATTGGATATAATAGGATTATACTCCCCTAAGGTAAAGTCGAACCCTAAATAAGAATCGGAAAGGGTCCCTAACCCTACCCCTGTCCCAACCCTAAGGATCGGAAAGGGTGCCATACCCTAACCCTAAGGATCGGAAAGGGTGCTAACTCTAAACCCTAAGGATCGTAAAGGTTCCCTAACCCAAACCCTAACCCTTAACCCTAAGGATCGTAAAAGGTTGTTTGACTCTAAAGATGCAAGTGAAGGGAAAAGGAGCAATTACCACGATATAGCAAGACAACGCTTGAGACAGTGCGGTAGTGCAGTAGCGCTATAGTGCAATAATTGCCCCGCAGTGAGCAGAAAGGGCTGCGCCCGGTAAAGTGCATTCTAGCCAACAAATGTAGCATAGACCCACAATGAAAATGTCCAAAGGAGTAAAAAACAAAATTGATGAAGACAGACGGCTAGTGAGAATGATACGTAGTTTGACTGCAGACAGCAGCATCTGAAGTCATGAAACAGTGTGACCCAGGTATGGATGAATTAGTCTCCTAGTTGGTGGTGAACTGTCACATCACTAGGTGCAACAACATCAAGTAGATCTAGCTTGCAGAGAGGAAGTAGAATAACAGCAAGTCTTCCTCTTCAGGTACCATATCACGGTTCGGCCTGCTCTTATAATACTACATTTGTACCTCTCCACTTGTGACAGTCAGTGAGTAAATGGTACTTACACAGATATTATACGTCAGAATACCTGACAAGGAATTTTCATGATTGACGCAATAATAAATTTTGTTTTCTCTTCACAGTCGACTGAGTCATGACAGGTGTCTAGTCATTTTCAATTGCATCCAATTACGACGACCACAAAGCGATCTGTCCAACTTACCATCTCTCTCACCGTGCAGCAAGAGCCGAAATTTGTTGTGAGGGTCGTTATGATTGCAGTTTTACTCACACATACAGTGTAAATTGGTATTTTCCATCTTACTACAACACCGCCATATTGTTTTGGTCAATTGCATTATGGGTAAAGAAATATCGTACGAAGTATTCAGGCATTTGTTTCAGAATCATATTTGAAGTCGAATTAAGAATATATAATCACAAATAATTCCGATTGATTCTGTTCTATAAAACTTAATAAAATTCTCAAAGATATTCCTCTCGCGAGATCCCATGTGACTTCCTTTCTTGACGGCCATTCCTCTGACAAGGTGCATGTTTCAATAATTGTCTCAAACAAGACATAAGTTGCCTATTTATCTCATTCAAATAAATAAAATTTATAATGTATTTCCGTATATGGACTGATAGTATACATCTACATGTCGAATCTTAATCTGCATCCGTTATTTGAACTAATTCTGTTGATATCTTATTGTGAACTAAATCACCCACGTGTTTTACTGCAGACTGGATGACTGAAGCGTCCTAGAATCATATAACAGTTCGTTAACCTGTTTAAGATGTACTGCATCGACGTGTAATTAATAGCCATTACAAAGTGCAAGCATTCCTGCTCTGCATTTACATTTGGACATCAACGAAAATACAACGAAACATTTTGAAATATTGGGATATTATAGGCCGTTCTGCCTATTTTGCTATAGGCTGATCAGGCTATATTTGACCATTATTATTAACAGTTCACAAACTATCAATTTCCGCACGATATGGTTTTATTAGAGCATAGAGATGAATAGTTACTGGACCTGCTCAGCTTGAAAAAAATAAGTTTTTTGACAAAATGGAAATTTATATAATGTTCAGGAAAAAAGTTTCATTTACGAACACAATTTTGCACAGATTTTCATTTTGACAACTAAAACTGAATATCTATATCATTAATTTTCAGTGAAAATTGTCAAAAATATTATGTCTTATATTTAATTAGCAATTTCCAAACCCCTTTATTATGTGATGAAAATGCTCAAAAAGGGTTTGAATGAAAACCGTAGGACATCAAAACTTGAATGATGTTAATATCCTCATGCGGAAATGCACCACTTCAAATTTATTTGATAAATATCATAATTATAGGCCAATCGGCCTATAGCAAAATAGGCGGAACGGCCTATTATATCCCGTTTGGCCTATTATAGGCCGATCGGTAGGTTTCCCCAACCTCTTTGAATGCTTGTGGGAATAATTAAAGTACAAATATGTAATGTCTGGAGTTCTGTTTACTAGGGACACAACCTGAGCGGACCAATTGCAATGCCATAGAGCTTCCACTGTCTGTCTCTATCTGATACTGGAATTCTCTCTCCAGCGGTTTAAGCCCATCCCCCATCTTTGTGTCATAGGGAGCTGGGAAAGAGTTCCTTACATACCCCCTTTTTTCAAAGTATACAAAGATTTACAAGTATTGAAAAGTACCTTATAAAATAGGCGGGGGTTATGTAAGGAACTCTTTCAGGAGCTGACATGTCTTTACTGGCAGAGTGCAAGCATTCCTGCTCTGCATTTACATTTGGACATCGAGAAATACAGCGAAACATTTTGAAATATTGAAGGAAAAGGGAAACATTTTGCCTTTGTATGCTTTTGGGAAGAATTGAAGTACAAATATGTAGTATTGGCTGGAGTTCTGTTTTCTGGGGACACAACCTGAGCGGACCAATTGCAATGCCATCGAGATTCCACTGTCTCTATCTATCTATTGCTGGAATTCTCTCTCCAGCGGTTTAAGCCCCTCCCCCCATCTTTGGGTCATAAGGAGCTGAAATGTCTTTACTGGCAAAATCCCCATTGCAATTCTTAGGGTGAGGGAGTTGGGGTAAATTTTGATCAAGTGCCAACAATAATCCATAAAATTTTGTTCCAGGCCTAAACATGACCAACACAAAGGGTTACAGGCGCGGTACGCGTTACATGTTCTCAAAGAAATTCAAGAAACATGGTGTTATCCCTCTGTCAACCTATATGAAGATTTACAAGAGAGGAGACATTGTGGATATTAAGGTGAAAATTAGGATTTTGTGTACCAGTGCTCTGATCAACTTGTGTATTGCTGTAGTATATGTATCAATATCTTATATATATAACAAATTTGTTTCATTAAAATTAATGTTCATCTTATGCATTCTAATGGTCAAATTGAGGCTGGTACCTCTATTAAATTAGTTACTGTCCAGTTTGTCCAGGGCAGCATCTTCACTACATACTACATAGTGTATTGTTGCAACAAAGGTTGAAGACAGTGGTTACAGGGTGTGAACATTTATTCCATCAAGTGGAATAACAACAGACCCTGAAACCAGGGGTGGAAATAACTTCAGAATTGCTAGTGTACTCCGGTACAGTGGCACATGTAAAATCACTTGCCCTGATAAATTTTCCACTATACCGGACAGTTTTCTTGTTGATTTTTTAAATAAGCACATAATTACATTGGAAAGTCAACTGGACACCGGTACAGCGTGATATTCATATTTTCTTGCCCAACAGAAAAAAACACTGGACTGGGACGTCAGGCAATGGGTTATTTCCACCCCTGTGAAACAATATATTATTCAATAAATATGGCGTCATTATATACTTCTTAGTCTTCAAAACATTACATCATTGAGATAAAGTACAAATTAAATTGTTATAACTCCTTGATTTATCCTGTACATGGAAATCAAATAAATATGGTACAGACTCAGTCTTCTTAAACCTGTATGTATATCAGCTTGGGTGGAGAGATTTTGGACTGATTAAAAAGTTTGATGTTGGATAGTCTTAATTTTGAGAACTCTTCAATACTCATTTGGCATTTCTGTCTATTTTGGGGCAGTTATACAGCATAACTGTATGACGACTTTGCCAGTTACTCTCTAAACAGGAACTAATATGTGGAATGAGATTCAACCTCGTCACTAAATATGTCATTTGAAATGATAATAATTAATAGAGATGTAACAATCAATTAGTAGTCATTACTAATACAGTGATACCCCGGAAACTGGACCCCAAATATCCGGAAACCTCGATTTCCGTTCAATTATCATAAAAAAAAATCTCTTTGGTTATAAAGGTGACTGTCTATAATGGATATGCGTTTTCCGTTCCAGGATGGTAAATTTTACAAACCAACCAGCTAAATCAAAACAAAATTGACTTACTTATCCGCACGAAGCTTTGATCTTCCTCTGATCGTGTGAAGTGAAGCGCGAGTGTCCCACATGTCTTGACACGAGACAAGGTCTGCTAATTCGGATTAATGACCAATCAGCAGGGTATTGGTGGTGATTAGTAGGCCTCTCTGACACTGAGTGAATTGTAATTGGCAAATCAAAACGATCATGCTGTTTTGAAAGTGATTCTAAACCAGAAGTGTATGGATGACAGAAATCCAGATATCCGGATAGTCAGTTATCCAGACGATTTACACAAAAACGAATGTGTCCGAATATCCGAGGTCTCACTGTATACATAAACCACTCTGTTGAACTACAAACTTGAGCAGCTAAATGATTAAGTAGTTCTTATGATGGGTAAATTTCATAACACGGATAAAAACAACTTTATAAATAATATTTGTGTTTCAAAATAGATTTTGGTCTATTACAAGAAAACATGATTGATTGCTTGATTTCTTGGTCACTATTACCAATCTTCCATTGATCGAAGTTAGTGTAAAGAACATGCATTAATTTTGCGTTTTCATGAACTATAAATCAAAATATCTATCATTTCAAAAGTATGAAACACACCAAAACAGCTTAGGTTATGACTCAATTGTATATATGAAAGACATACACACACACACACTAAGGCCTTCATTGGTTCAAGTAGGAAATGGTATGCCCCAGGTCTGTAATCAATTGTTAATGTACAAATATAAATACAACTATAAAATGACAGCAGGACTCGATTTAGTGCTTGGTTACTTGTACTGTTACATCCCAATATTACAAAGTGTAACCTAATTATTAGTCTAATTTGCACCAGGTGCAAGTCAATTTTTGAGAAATAAATCAACAATAAATCTAACATTGTTCGCATAATTATGTCAGCTCATTTTTCTTCTAAACTTTGAATAGCTATGGCACCAAAGCATTGCTATTTATAGACACCTCTCGGCTGTGACAGCTCTTGTATACAGGGATCAGCTGTATGGCTGTGTTGCTATGGTTTCATCGGTATCACATCAAGGAAACGTGGTTATGTGCACTGAAACCTCTGACGTTTTAACCCACAACATCATCATTTTAAGTGATAGCTGACAGATTTATCACAGTTGCCTGTGTGAAATGCTAAGCCTCCTGTCAGCTTTGATTATCCAAACCATGAATGAAAATAACCATAGATAGCAAAAGCAAACAACAGGCAAGTTTAAAACCTTTTTTTCTGAAGAAATCAAGTTAATTAGCTGACAAAAGTGATGGGGCTGCGCAATATTACCGGTATTTACCGGTTCAGACATGAAAACGATACGTATTGCGATACGCTGATCGAAAACTGGTGTTTTGACTTGCATTCAGAAAACTTCGTAACACTCGGAAATGTTCAGATATGTCCTTGTTTCATTTGTGCCAAATGTTATTCACATTTTTATTTTATCATGATTAAAAGTTGTTATTAAAGCTTAAACAAGCGTAGTGATTTTGTTGTGTTTTGGGGGGCGGTGGGTTAGCCTAGTGGTTAAAGCGTTGGCTCGTCACGCCGAAGACCCGGGTTCGATTCCCCACATGGGCACAATGTGTTAAGCCCATTTCTGGTGTCCCCCACCGTCATATTGCTGGAATATTGCTAAAAGCGGCGTAAAAATAAACTCAGTCAGTCAGTCAGTGTTGTGTTTTTGCTCTATAAATCAAGAAGTAACTCGATTATAAGTAGTTTTTGTTTAAAAATACTTCATGCAATATATTGCAATACATATCGCAATACATGCTTTAGCATCGCAAGATATCGCAATATGAAAATTCTCTGCAATACCCACCCCTAAAAAGTGATAAACACAACTCAGAAACATGCCAATATGAACAAGAGTGATTCCATTAACATTGCCAATGTG